CGTGGGCGGTGGGAAGGAGCTGGGAGGCGGAGGCTGGGCAGATTACAGCCCTGTTCTAAGGAATGCCATCCTTGCAGGATTGGGGTTGGGATTCGTCTTGATTGTTTTTTTTGGGGGGGGGGGCAGTTCCTGTCTGCCGAGGTGAGTAGGTTCCAGGGCGGATGTCTTGGATCTCCTCTGTCTTCCTCTGACCTATCCCTCTATGCTCCTTTACAGTTATCTTTCGGGTGTGCATTGTTACCTCCTCTGCTGTTGGCCGTTCACCGCTTGCGCAAGACCTGCCAACAGCTTCAGGGTAGGGGACCAACATCAAGGGTAAGTTTTCCAGAAGAGTGCATTCGCTGACGGCCGCTGTTTTATCTTTTTTCCTCTGCCTCGCTTTCTGCCTAAAGTAGTGTCGCCTTTTAATTTGGCATGTGAATGGGTCCTGCCATCCTTCAAAGGAGCTGCATGACCAGGACTCTGCGCTCCTGTCTGGATCTAACGGACTCATTCAGGTCGTCGGAGCACCTGTTCCTGCTTCCCGGGGGCAGGTTCAGGGGGAAAGAGGCGAGTTCCAGAACTGTCTCTTCCTGGATTGCTACGGTGATCTGACTCCTTTTCTAGTGCCTATCCATGGCAGCATAGCTACCCTCCCGTTCTGAATGTGATGGAGAACCAGTGAAAACTTTTAAAAAATCTGAAATCAATGAGAGGTAAGAGAACACAGGACCCAACGTAGTTTCAAAATCAATTTCTATGTTGGACAACCTTTAAATTATGACCTAGAAATTAATAGGTTCTTTTAAAAGCCATATCTTTTGGAATCTCAGACGATGGAAAAACTTAGGGCTCCTAAAACAAAAAAAAATGTTCAGCACCTCTTCTCTATTGTGAGGAGCTTATCAAACCAATGTTTTTTTTTTCTACTCTTTCCACTTTTATTAAGATAACACTAGGAAAAATGTGCCCACTGGTGCATATGACAAATTTCGATGGAGTTTATTAAGATGAGAGATACTAGTGAGGGATAGGCAGAAAAAGGATGCTCCCCTCTCTGTAGAAGAGGAGAAATGTGTGTAGAATATATATGTAAAAAAGAAGAAGAAAAAAGAATGAGAGAGAAAATGATTAAAGAAGAACTATGAGGTGAGTGAAAATCACTCAACCTCATAGTTAGAGCTGACGTATGACAATGAAACAGTCACACGTCGGCTTTATAGATCAGGAAGTGAGTGAACACATACCGTCTCTCGCTCACTTCCAGATCATCTCCCTGCAGAGAGCCGTGACTGTCAGTCACCACTCCCTGCAGGGATTCCCCCTCTCCTCTACGATCCTCCAGCGCTGCCTGAAGGAATGGACGAGGGAGGGCAGCTGGGTGGATCTCGACAGTATTGTTGGGATCCGCCCCAGCTGCGTTGCTCTCAGTATATATACTGAGCTTTGGGTCATGGGAGGAGGTTAGTATGTCCTCCCGTAACCTTTAACTAGTGGATAAAAAAGCTACCCCATAGTTCTCTTTTAAAGTCTTAGTCCATCTTTAGCAAAAAAGTACTAAATGCAGCAACATTAATCTCATTGTCAATGTTAATTTACTAATGTTTGCAATGAAGCCTGCAGGTCATTGCACCCATAGTCATTGGATAGGTGACAGGGGAGGGAGGGAGTGATAAGGGCAGGGGTAGGTGGGTTGATGGGAGGCTGGAGGAGTAGTGAGGGCAAGAGTGGGTGTGCAGGAGGAACAACAATAAATTGGTCTTGAAATGAGGTAGAAGCCAGTACAAAAGCTGCAAAAGTGTATATATTATAATTTGCAATTATCCATATTTTCCTAACATTGCGTTCTTGACTTGGGGGAAAACGGTAGCCATATAAAACAAAATGGCTGATGTTAAAGAAGAACTACCCCCAGACTGCAAGGGTTAAGTGCTCGTTTTTGTCTAGGTACAAAAATAAATATACTGTATACTCAACCGAAGCTCTAAGCCAGCTGGCTGTCACAGGGCTCCCTCCAGCCTCTCACCACCTACACTGCAGCATTGGAATTAGACATGTGCATGGCCAAAAAATTAGTTTCGGATGAAACAAATGAAAACTAAAAACATTTTCATTCATTTTGTGAATGGAAACACATTTTTATGCTGTTTCAGACTCCGAGGCAACGAGCCTGCAGTGGAGGGGGAGTGTGGCTCCTAAAAACCTAAATGCTGCCTTATGATACAGTATATCCGTTTGAATACTGCATTTGTACATTTGACCTGTTTGTATACATAATTTTAGTCAATCCTGTAAAAACGTTCAACCTTTTTTCTCACTGTGGGGTTATTTTACGAATGGATGATAGAAGATGTTCACTTCACTCATGCAAGGCAAAATTGTGTTACCCCTGCATATGACTGGCTATTCAAAGAAAGAACAGCTTGACTTTATTAACTAAGCTAAGTAAACCTTCTCTACTTTAGTTAAACTACCACCTTTTCTATGTAGTCTGGGCAATAAAATATGATTTTGATTTAAATAACTTAAAACTATTCAAGCCAGCAATTCCCTTGCCCAATTCTCTACAGATGGCTTGGTCTTGTTACAAAACATGTATTGGTGGTGCATTAGTAATTCTATACAAAGTCTTTTCACAGGCATAACATACACTTTGCATTGGCTAAATGCACAGTGGATTGTTTTAGCCACCTTTTGACAGATTTGTTATGGCATTATTGTGGACAGTTGATTAGCTGCATAAATGGTTTTAGTTTACATATCCATACATCTTTTACCTATGTCTTTGTCTTTTAACTATGTCTTTGTCTATGAAGAGAAGAAGCTGGAAAATATTACGATGGTGTATGTCAAGGCATAAATCCGAATCTGAAATTTGTTCTGCAGAGAAAACTGCTGGTAAGCATTGGATGCTCCTCCTGCCTTTGGAAATTTCATAATGTTTATCTGAACAACAACGTATACCGTATATGAGGCACCTTCAGCATCCATGGGCTACAGAGAAAAAGGCTATTGCTTAAGTTGGAAATGTATGATTCGTAGTCTGTTGGTCCACAATTTAGTCTCATATGCATTCCTCTAGTTGAATCCCAAGAACACATGCAGCCACCAACTCTTGTCTATGAACCCCTTAGACTTAGGCTATAGAGGCTATAGATGCTCAGATTATCATATTCGTAACAAGCAGTAAATGTGCCTCATAGGTCAGCCCTCACTGGCCTCTGTAGCTGCAGGTACCGTGGAGCAATACCTCACTATTCACAGCAGAAGTGCTAAAGTTCTCCAAGTTGTACTCTCATTAGATTAGCTCCTCTTTGATTCCCCTACAAGCAATGACATACTAGCCTTCCAGCCTTTTAATCTCCAATGCAAATACACAGCAGGAGATCTGGGGTTTCAGGATGTAATGGAAGTAAGAGTTGTTGGAGACAAATGAGAATGTCACCACAGCACACCACGCTAAACATCTCAACAATGCAATATGCAGTGAATAGAGAGCAACTGGGCATGTGTCTATTACATCACTGGGAATAATTACTTCTAAGTCCCAGGGACAGAATGGTTTTGGAGCATTTCATTCCTATTAACATGTAGTATATATAGTTAGATTACAGATGAGAACAAGTGTTTATCTTGACTATACTTCCACTTTAAGAATTTGTACATACTTAGATATCCATAGTCTGTCTACAGGTTCTCTTTAAGGTGAACCTGTTAAGAAAAAAGCCTCCTTCCTACGCACCTTTTGATAGGTTGGTAATGCAAAGTCACTGGGTGATTACCTACTAACGTTGACAACTGCGTACTCATGTGACAATACTGGGGTTTGGCAATCTGAAACTTAGGCTGCATGTTGTATTTTGTGTGCCTCCACAATCCACAAGTACTGGGATTTTTCCAAAGTGCTTTTGGGGATCAGAGCAGGGATGCCTTTATTCTTCAAGCAAAAAGGCATGTCACCCTGAGCATAGCAAATAGCTCATGTAACTAAACCATTATTACTTTCTGGATAAACAGTCCCCAGTTTCTTAGTTTGCATGCTCTAATCCCTGTACTCATACATAAACGATATACAGTATCTACACAATATGATTTAATCACATAACATAATATATACAGTATATATTATATACTATATGCAGATTAAGTAAAGCTATGTACTGAGCAATAATAAAAATCACCCTCCTCCTACCATGAGTAATAAGCAATAAGTAATAAGTGAGTAATAAGTAGCAATGTGAAATCAATCAAAGCACCCTATGTGCTTAAGAGTAACTTGAGGTGAGATGACAAGTGAAATCAGTATAAACAATCTTAATAATCAACTCCATTCTGCAGGTAAAATCGGTCAGCATACTATACAGAGAACACTACTAAAGTATAAGTCCAACAAGGAAAATTAATTAGTGCAATACTAACACTATACAGGGAACATTCAGGGCTAAAATAAAAAGTAACCCTAAGCTAATTTACTATATGGTGCTGCAGGTGGCTACACTCCCATCCTCCTATGGTTGCCTCCAAGGTGTAGCTAAGTACCCTCCACTGCTGGGAAATGTAGTATAGTTTCTAAGTATTAATGTAGTCTAAGTTTCTAAGTATTAATGTAGTCTATTAAGTATTATTGTTCACAAAGGAGGGGTGACTAGACAGTGAAAGCTACCTTGCATTCTTCCACATGTTCAAAGTACCGGGTCTTAGATTAGAATGATGATGAGCACAGCCCTAATACTGGAGGCACTGGTGTACAGGCATCACTATCTACAGGCAAAGATGTCAACATTATATACATCCCTATGATATTACTGAAACAGAGAACTATATCAAATAGTCAAGACCAAATCATTTTAAAGTCCCTGGCCCTGGGCACATGACAGTGGGCTGTGTATCAACAAGGATTCACCTTTTCACTTTAAATACATTTCCTCCTATACATAATATTCCAACCCAACGTACCTTTTAAAATACAGTTTGCTCAGTTCATGAAATACATACATTTTATGGTAAAATATAAAACTTACACTGATCCCTGGAGATAAACTGAGGTACATTATTCAGCTGAGGTGTGCTGGGATTTGGGGTTCCCACAAGTTTGCTCTTGGCCATCTTTGTATTTGCTTTTGCAAACTCGAGCCGTAACGTCTGAGGAATTTCTGGATCAAAGCGTATTCCCTGAAACCATAAAATGAGAATCATTTATTCAACAAGTAATAAAATCAAGTATAAAAGAAAAACATAAAAAGGTAGATTTTTTTGGTAACCGTGCAAACAGCAATGATGTATATAGTCCATAGCAACCCCAAAGAAATTCCATTTCATCTGTTTAGAGTTGTGAAATGATGAAAGATGATCGATTGTTATGCGTTAAAACCTTTTCCTTTTTTGCTTTGTGTGAATAATTCAAGAAGGTCACAGAATATACAGCTTCAATTTTTATGGTTGTTTGTAAATTCTGCCTATCAAGTACATAATTTCACCAGTTTTAGGGTGTACTCTTTCATCACATGTGCCATACGTGAGGCATTTCTCTAAACAGGTTATGTAGCCATATGTTATCACTATGTCCTTTGAAGTCCAATTGACGTTTGGACTCATCACATGCCGTCGCTTGCTCACTTCCCGATCACCTCCCTGCAGACAGCAGTGACTGTGAGTCGCTTCCCGTGGGGATTCCCTATCCGATACTCCAGCGCTGAGTGGAGGAATGGACGGGGAGGGGGCAGGCACAGCCTCTAGATAGGCAGAGCCCGAGGTCAATCAGCCAGCTGGGTGGATCTCGACAGTATTGTCAGGATCTGTCCCTGCCGCGGCGCTCTCAGTATATAGCGGGCAGTAGCCCGCTAAAAAATACTGAGCTTTGGGTCACGGGAGGACGTTAGTATATGTCCTCCCGTGAGCCTAAAGAGAACTATAGGATACAAAGGTTACCCCATAGTTCTCTTGTAATTATATTATCATATATTAACGTTAATAATGATGTGCAAAATGCTTTAACCCACAGCAACCAATTAGATTTCAGGCTACAGCAGTCAGCCCTATTAAGAAATTATTTATTTTTGGTTGAAAAGGATTACTGAACTCTGTATTTCACCACTGTGCTTCAAACTGCCGTACTTAATAAAGCATAAAATGTTATAACCTTATAAATGTGAGTCTGTATTATCATTGTAATGTCCTATTATAAAAAGACTGATATGACTGTTTGCTAGAAGCTGTTGAACTTGACATGAAACCTCTAGGCATGGATCACCGCAAACTGACCATAGATGGACTTATGTCTATTGGCAACACCGTATCAACAAACAAATAAACACAAACATTTTACTTTGCTTGGTAATCTTTTTAAGGCTTGGAAATAAGTTGACATTTTAATGAGTTCTGCTGGATGATGTGTGGGAACAAATTCATTATTAAAAAAATAGAGAAATATTGCAATATGCTAGAACAGGCCTTGGGGTATACGTAAGCTAGAATACCTTATATGGCTAGTAATAAGACATAAGAACAAGCCGGGAGCATGTTGCCAATGTGAAATGAATAGTGACACTGCCAGGCTATTTTAAAAAAATGTATTACAGGTATTTAAAAAGTGTCCACAATGAACACAGCGATTTACGCAGTACACGTTCACATCAGTCCCTGCCCTCAAGGAGCTCCCAATCTAAGGTCCCTATCACACATACATACAAGGCCAATTTAGACAGGAGACAATTAACCTTCCAGCATGTCTTTGGAGTGTGGGAGGAAACCTGAGTACCTGGAGGAAACCCACACAAGCACAGCCATTTTATAATAAAACTGCTGTGATATCTTTCAGATGCTAGACTGACATATTAACATGTTCCTAAATTTATGCTGTAATATTTCTCTCAATTTACTCTATTTAAATAAATGCATGGATTTATATGTCTTTTGAAGGCTTTACATGTAAGCAAGAGGTTTCTGGTATAATAAAATTGAAAGCATTTTACTTGGTTGACTGTAATCACCTGCAATGTAGCTGATGATGATGATAAACTAAAAGAGCATAAAATATTTCTTATATAATAATTATATAATAATATTTCTTAGGCATGCACTGAAATTAAATTTTTGAAACAAAACCAAAATTAAAAAAACTGTCAGGCTGAAACCGAAACTGACTTTTTTCCAACCTCTTTAAAATATTTTACATTATTTTAAAATTATTTTATTTTTTATATATTTTTTTATTTACTGTTAGGGGCTTTAGGAAAAATAAAAAAAAGAGACTGAGTCCTCAAACTCTTTTTTTCTGCAGCCCCAACACTCAGAGAACAGGAAGCCTCTATACTGAGTGCTCCTGTCCATTCATAAACTGAGGAGAAAGTGTCAGTTACTATGTCCACAATCATGAATAAACAGTGCACTTCCTGTTCATTCATAACTGGGGACACAGTAAGCATACTATGACCTATTATTTACAAACACTCAGCTAAGTGTCCTGATCATTGAGTGTTTGTTCTCCGCTCTTCATCCTGGCTCTCTTGCCACTGGAGGACGAGCTCTCATACCGCACCACCCCCCTTGGACTCTTCTCTCCGCACTGCCTCATGTCTCGCCACAATGCCACTGCCACAGGCTTCCTGACTACTTATCTCCTCCCTGCTGTTGAAACAGGCCGGGGAAAAGCACTGGGGATCGGAGGGAACAAAGACCGGTGCCAAACGGGGAGGAGAGAGGCTAGGGATGCACCGCATTTTTGACCGTTTTGGTACTAATCAGCATTTTGGCCATAGCACCATTTTTGGTGGAAATGTTTTGGTGCCCAAAATTTTGATGCATCCCTAATATTTATATAATTACACATTTATATGATTTTGAAACAAATGGTTTCACATATTACTGGAATATAGTACATCACAACTATAAACATCTACAACAGGTAGATTATAGATTTTAATAGAAGATCTTAAGCATGGCAGAGACAGGCTGGACCTAAATCTAAAATAATCCAGAAGGTATGAAGATTAGTACATACAGAATAATTTAACACAGAAGCACAAGAAAAGCGGAAAAAAAAAAGCATCTGTTAATGAACTAGGCCTGATGTGTTCATCTAGGGGGAATGAGGATTTATCAAACTATGACCCAGTATAATGAATCAAGAATGATTTATTTTGGATGGAACAGACCTTTAACCGGACTGGAGACTCAACACACAGTACATTGACCTCCTGTGGAATCCTACTTAGTTCAAGTATTTAAAAATACTGAACCCATTATGCTTGATCTTTTACACACATACATTCTCTCTCTCTCTCTCTCTCTCTCTCTCTCTCTCTCTCTCTCTTTCACTTTACCAAATATATTGTAGCTTGACAAGTTCTCCAGCCCTCTGGGGGGAAGGCAGGGTCTGATATGGTGTACTCTATAAATCAGTGAAATAATGAGACGCTTTGAGCATGGAGAATGGAGTGTGGGCATCTCCAGAGCTCCAGTACAAAAATTAATCATTAAGATTTATTAATGTTGATTCCTTGCTATTTTGCCTTATATAAAAAGTGGGCTAGCCATTGGTAAGAGTTATGCAAATATCACAATGTCTGGATGGGTGGAAGTCTGCCTGGAGGAGTAGGCAGTCTCCATTTTCATGTAGACCATCCTAGGTAATGTCCATGTGTGATGCTGAGCCTCCATGACTGAGGCCTGGTTCACACCTAGTTTGCACATTGCGTTTGCCTTGCCGCCCCATTGATTTCAATGGGGTCAGATACATGCGGTAAACGTGGCAAAAAGGCTCCTGCGCTATTGTATGCTAAACATATATACCCCTTTATTACTAGGCCATTTCTCAGTGCTGAAATACTGTGACGGACAATTACTCAGTCACGCAACACTGTACGCAAATTAATATTATACCATTTTTTTTTTAAAGATGGAACTTTCATGGTATTTGTGCATCACTGTTTTTATTATTTTTAATAAATAAAAATGTTTTATTTATTTACTTATAAAACATATCAAGTAAAAATGCTAGGGCAGTATGAAAACCCCAAACTGACCCCTATTTGGAAAGTAGACACCCCAAGGCGATCTCATTTTTTGCCAAATTTTTTTGGAAAGTAAGATACATGCTGGTATTCAAGTGGCTGGAAAATAAGGCTCGGCAATGGTGCACTAGATCAGTGGTTCTCAACCTGTGTAACCTCAGGACCCACATTTGTCCTTGGTCATTAGGGCACGACCCAAGTTGCACTGCAATCGAACTGTAGGTGGGAGGTGCGTTTGGGATGCCATTCAAGTGAATGGCATCGTAACACACCTCCCACACCAGACCGTGTGGTGGGTGCAATTGCATGGTACAGTGCTTTAATAGCACGGGACTGTGCGTTTATTGCACTGTACTAGTGTGAAAAGGTCCTCAAAAACACTGACAGACTCACCCAACCACAGACACAATATCACACATTCACAGAAATTCTCACACACACATACATACTCATACACTTTTTTTAAGATCCACCCAGTCTCCCTACCATACGAGAACTGGAGTGGATCCTCAGTCTGGGGTCCAGTGTGGGCTGCTGTGCTGTGACGGAGCTCCATCCATATGTGCATTGCTTGTACAGCTCCTTTGTGTGCCCTGTAGAGGTGCCGGGAGCCAAAATGTGATGTCACTCCAGTTGAGGCACCAATACAGGACACACGAGGAAGCTGTACATATGGATGGATCTCTCTCGTTGCCAAAGTCACAACCTACTCCACCTCAAGCTTACACTGCCGGGCAGCATATTTTGGTGTGAGAACTGACAGTGCTGCAAAAGGTGGTGGCTGAGGAGCCTCTCACCCAGAAAGGTGGAAGGCATGCTGTGACCCACTGAACATGTGGTCGGGAACCACTGTTGGGTCATGACCCACCAGTTGAGACCAAGGCACTAGATACATGCAGGATGGAGATGAAGAAATTATTAATGGAATAAGGGCGATGAAAAGGTAGTATACAGGTCACATAGAGAAACTGGCTGGAGATCAGATGAGTAGGAGAGGAGAGGGGTGAAAGGGATTAAAAAAAACCATCTCACAGTTAGTGGAAGTGAATGAACAGATCAGCAGCTGTTGCTGAAGATCCATTCATTCATTTCCCAATCACAAATGAACATGATTCCTCTCCTTTCTCTCTTGCAAGAGGAAGGTGTGGGGAAAACAATGTA